TAATTCTTAATTTTACTTTATTTATATTTAAAAATTAAAACAATTAATATATTTTCCCATTTAATTAGTCCCACCTACCATTTAATAAAATTAAATAAAATTTAATTAATTTTTTCATGAATTAGGAAATAATTTTATTAATTGAAAATTGAAGTTGAAGGATGTTTTTGATACTTTCTAAAGTTCAAAGATGAATTGGTTCAAAGATGAATTGGTTCAAAAATAAAAGTTGAGGGACCAATTCAAGTATTTGACCTAAAAAATATGTTAGCGTCAATATCATTATTCAATTAATCTTTAAATAGAAAAAGTTGAAAGTTGACATCCTCTTAAATAAAAAAAATTGAAAGTTAACATCTTTATTTAAAAACTAACAAAATTAATATCCTTATTTAAAAAAAATTAAAAATTAACATCTTTATTTAAAAATTGACAAACTTAACATTATTAAATAAAAAAATATATATAAAATTAAAATCCTTATTTCTACCTTTCCTCAACGGCAAATTAAGCATAAAACAATTTGTCTCAGTGAAACCTACAGGAACTTTGAAGTTTCATCCTCAGTGTATGAAGGCATGTCAACAACTTGTCTCGTGGTGGGTCTTGCATCCATGTTTTCCTCCACACATCGCGAGGTCACTCTAACCAGAAGTTCCATCCTATCAATGTCAAAATCGGAGGCCAACATGGGGCCTACAACCTCTTCAATACATGTCTCTCTCGAAGCTGCTCCAATTGCCCTCTCCCTCAGCTGTGGAGCCAACCTCCCATGCTTCACCACTTGATCACCATTATTGTCGACAATTTGAGCTCCGATCAAGCTGTTTCCGGTCACCATCTCCAAAACTACAATTCCATAGTTAAAACCATCGACTTTGGAGGTAATTGGAAAGTGGCTTAATTCAACGGTTAGTCTATTAACCACTAATTTAATTTCATTTTATTCTAAAAAATTAGGTCTCTTTTTAAATAGTTTATTAACCTTTTTGTTAATAAATTTTATTTTAGAATAATTTAATATATAAATTTTTCATTAATTTTAACAGAAAAATAACAAAAAAGCTAAATTAAAGTTAAAATAGAGTAATTTTAATCAGTAAAATAGTTCATAATAGATTGTATAACTTATTAAAATATGTCAATAATTATTTTTTTTGTTACAAAAGAAAATTGTTAAAAAAAAAGTTGAAACATGCTTTTAAAAAAAAAAGAGCTGAAACACTATGGGATAAATGTTACAGTTTTTTGAACAGTAAAAAAATTTTATCATCCTTACAAAATTAATTTTATCTCAAAATTATTTTTAAAGGATACAAATTCACAAAAGATATAATTAAAGATTAATTTGACTAAATAAAGTAAAATTATTATTAAAAAATTAACAAATTAAACTAAACTCAAATTAAAAAAATAATAAATAGATCTGAAAATATTTAATAATAATAGACGAAAAAATAAAAGTTATTAGATTGTTTATTAAATTATGTGAGTGGAAAATTGTAAGCCCACTCAGGAGCCATGTAGCCTCTTATTCCTCTTATCCTTGAGAAACCTAAGCTATTGAGAGCACCTCGGTTTAGCAGCGTAGACAGGCCAAAGTCTGATACCTTTGGTTGGAAATTGGAGTCCAAAAGTATGTTCTGTGGCTTAATATCATAGTGCAGAATCAATTCCAAGCACTCTTCATGCAAATAAGCCAAACATTTTGCGGTGCCGACTGCAATTTCGAACCTTGTTGCCCAATGGAGTGAATTTTTTGATAGATTGTCTGCCAAAGATCCATGCTCTATGTACTCATAAACCAAAAGCCTGTGCTTTCCTTCTGCACGATACCCCCACATTTCTATCAAGTTCATGTAATTAAACCTGAAATTGTACCTACTTCCGTGAGAAACTCTGCTTCACCTTGGCCAGCTTCATGCAGACGCTTGATTGCAGCAATGCAGTGGTCAGGCAACACCCCTTTGTGCACAATTCTGGCGCCACCGCTTCCTATTTCTTCACTGAAACCATTGGTTGCCCTTTCAAGCTCAGAATAATTGTATCTTCTGAATCCAGTTGCGGCCTGTAAGTATACGTGGTCTGTTGCTTTGTTTTCTTCATCACTTCTAAACAAGATATACCAAACCAAGAAAATGCGCGCATACAACCTCCACAACTCCTACCGCAACTGAGAACCAAAGCAAGAACCCCTAGGATCCATTTTGCTTGCCTTCTGAATATGTTCTATTTAGCATAACAACTTCTCGGTTGTTGTCACAACCATAACTTGATTCCTCGTACTGGACTTGGGTAATTTCAAGTAAAAATCCCCCATAAAAGCTGGTGAACGATGTCCCTTAGGCAACCGTATATTGGGTAACATTCATAAGCATGGTCATCCTCTCTGTACTTAAACTGGAGCCCTTTGCAATCACACAATTTCAAGCATTCTTCTTCACATCCCTTTAAGGTACTAAACTGGAAGTAACCTTTATTGTAACCGTAGAATTCAACATGAGTATGTTTGACAAAACCAAACTCACTTTTGTTGCAAGAATCTATAAATTCTGCTACACAACCCTGAGACCAGTCGGTTTTACTTGCAATCCTATACCCTGATAAGCAGGAACATGTCCTGCCAAGAACATTATCGTACTTGCACAGACTGTTTGCTCTGCAATTGCCATGAATTTTGCAAGGTTCTTCAAAAGCTTGCTAAGTAACAACCCATGATCCATCTTGTTGAGTGGGAAAATCTCATATAGAGTATATCACAAAAAAGTAAGTGAGTTAAATATAAGTAGAGTTATTTCACTTATTACAAATTAGTTTTAGATTGGATGAACCTTTGCATTTAACTCAGTCTTGAAAGGGTACATGTTGAGTCCCACATCAAGTATGTAATGAAGATGCAAATCTTGTATTGAACCACATGCACAATCTCTACTCTTCGAGATGGTATAGACTGTATAGTCCTAAATTACCATCAGGATCAAGTGTTAACCTTCTCAATGAACCTATATCCGAATCCGCTACCCTAAACCGAAAATCGTCAGACGAGCTGAAGTGACCTGAGAAGTTTATTATATGTAGACCTTTCACCTCCTCCTTGCCCACTAACGAGCCAAGGGGATGGCCAGTAGACACTAGTCAACTCTGGAAGTTGGTACAGAAGGCAGAGGACATTATCATTGTTGAATTAAAACTTATAATCACCGAGGAATTTATAATTGCTTCGGCTTCTTGAGGAGATAAGTGTCTTTGGTTAATGGCTGTCCTGTAAGTAGTGTATCTGTGGGGGAATTAAAGCTTTCCCAGAATGTGGAATTACCATCCAGATTTTGAAGAACGAGATTGCCATTGTTAAGAAGCTTTAGTTGAACAGAGGAAGCCGAAACTGAGCCTACACTCCACTCTGTTTTCCCATCGGTGTCGGTCAAGATAAGCTTTCCATTTCCCAACAGGGAAAGGTTTGAGCCTTTGCCGTTCACCGGTTGATCTCGGTTGGCCATCCAAACAACGGTGTGAGTGGGATCGGATCGGACATTGAACCAAATGGCGAAGCAGAAAGCATGTTCTCCAACATTAGAAAACCCGGCATTGAAAACGTCATTTTTCGAAACCAGAATTTGGAGGAAAATTAAAACAAACAATGAAACTGAAATATCCACGACCACAGTTCTTATGAATTATTGGGTCTTTAATCAAAGAAAGCCAGTGTTCTTGTTCTTTTGTATTATACTTCTTCGCTGGTTCAGAAAGCACGTTGGCAGAAAAGAACTATTATAGTTCACGTTTATGCATGTGATTTAATAATAAATCTTTTTAGTTGGCGGCCATTCTAGTAACCTAATACATTGATTTGACTTTCAGGAAACCCCGCTGTAGTTGGGTGAGTCTTCTGCCCGGGAAAGATTTCATTCCTAAGGAATGCTTGCGGACTAGCTAGGGCTTACTCATCTAAAAGATCTACATATGCTATTGCAGTAGCAGACTTTTTCTCCAATAGGAAAGCAATGAGATTCATATTATCTTATGTATTTATATTGATATTTCCCCCATATTATTTGTAAGTTATATATAAGTCTATATAATTAGTGTGTACTGCATAGGTACTGGGCACATATCATCTTCCTTGGCTTACCATACCTAAGGATTGACGTAAAAAGAGGGGTATTCTTCACCTAACGTTATTGAGTTTAAACAAATAGAATGTTCAAAGTACTAAATTAATGTAAAATATGTTTTTAAAATCTCTAACAATAATTAATTTTAAGATATGTATAAATTACTTAAGACATATTAACCTTTAAATAAAAATTTAATCATTTTTATACCTATACATTTGTTTCTAAATACTACTGTAATAATTTAGATTTTATTAAAAAAATTATTAGTTGACAGGAAATTTTCTCACAAATTCAACTTCCAATAAAAGCAACCCTTCAGCTACGTATTGGATTGCATACATTTTGTTGTCAATTTACACTAATATTTTGAAGAAATCATTAAATCTTAATTGTTTGGTGTTGGTCTTGTTTTGACGGGGACAGACGAGTATTATCTTACTTAATGTTGACTGGAATTTGGAAATCTTGATATACAAAGACTTTGAAAAGTCAAATATAAGTAGTACTTAATGGTTTTCTTAGGCCTTATGCAGTTATGCTATGCAAAAACAGACCAATTTGTGAAACCAAACTAATTCATGCTAAACCAAATTACTTCCCTCAGTTTTTTTTTTTTTTTTAATTGTCTTAGTTTAATTGCGTGAGCATGTTTAGATAATATTTTGTTATAATATATAAATGATAACTAAATTTTTTTTTGATAAAATAAAATGAGTTAACAAGATTTACATTTAAGAAATTTTGTTTAGAATTATTATTTATATATTATAAAAAAATATACATACACAATTAAATTAAGACAACTAAAAAAAATTTTAAAAAAATAAAAACATAAAAAAAGTAAGTGAACAATTTTACCTATTTATTTTGACAATCGTCAATTTCAACAGTTTGATGGACACAATTAAAAGTTAAAATTCAAAAAAAAAAAAAAAAACAAACAAACCAAACCAAAATCGGATCAAATATAATTTTCTCAATATAAGGTGGCACTTCCCTTGTTAATTTCCCTTTCCTCTACAATTGTTCTTTCCCTCCACAATGTTCCATTGATTATTGCAAGAGTTGTTTATAAGCACTTTAAGTGCTTAAAATCCGCATCTTCCTCTAAAACATTTTCAAATCCAAAATAGAAAGGCATTTATAGGCAACCTCTAAAAAAACCCTCAATTTTGGTTTTAACAAATTAGATTTTTTGGTGCAATACAATACATGTGTCTCTAAGAATATATTTGGTTTTAAGGAAACAAAAGGGAAGAAGATATATAAATTTTTTAATCAACTAAATTTTATCATTTACAAATATTATAATTTATTTAATTAAAAAATTATTTATCTCCTTTCATTTTCGATAAACCAAACATACTTCAAGGGTTGGTTTGCCTAATCAACCACATTTGCTTTTTGATTTTATGAATAAGAGGCAATTTGGGGAAAAGGGGCTACAAATGGATCAAACCTGGGCTGGGTGGATGGAACACCCAACGGGTGGGCAACTGGGCAGCCCCTCTATACCCCAGGTTCAAGGGCCACATTTGGATTTTGTGTATGCGTTCACTTTGGTGTGAGATATGTATCTTCAATGTTTTTTATTCTATTATTAAAAAAATGGGTCAACATAAAAAAAAAAAAAGGGTCAGCCCGACCCAACCTATGTTTTGGCCCATAAGTTTTGATACTAATGTCATATTCCCAGACAAAAATGTATGGGACTGTGGATTTTCAAGTTTACGTGCAAGTAAAAAAATTACACACAAAATTATTTAAAGGGAAGAATATTTGCTAGTTATATTTGTAAAAAATTAAATAAAAAATATTTTATTAACAATTTAAATAATTCAATGGTAATTTTATTTTATTAATAATTCAATAATAATCTTATTTCATTGAAAGCAAGATTTTAAATTTAAATTACATAATATGTAGATGAATAGGGTAAAAAATAAAAAAAAGTTATCTCTCGTTATCCAATTAAAATAAAAAAAAATATAAAACATATTTTAAAATAATATATTTTTTATAATTTTTTATTAAAAATTAATTTTAGTCCATTTAATAGTATTTTATTAAAATAATATAATTTTAAATACTTTTATACCTAACTTTTTTAAAAAAAAATTCAGTTAACAAACAATAATCTTTTATTTAAATAACTGTTGATTCATTTCTGCATTTTCGTTTTATACAGATGCACTTAAAAAATACTTTTATGAAAATATATTCCTTTGTCTTTTTTAATTGTTCTATTTTAGTTTTTACAAAACTATGAAAAACTTTGACATTGTAACAGAACTCCAGCATCGATCTGGCTGTGCTCCTGTCAATCTTAGTTTTTGCCTTAACTTTTCCGGTACTTTTTGTGGAAATTTGCTCTTATAAGAAGAGGGGAGGAACTTGAATATGATATTAGTTGGACTCAAATCAATTATTGTTTTTGTTTTGACCGATAAAAGACATGATTAGGGATGGATTCTTAACTAAATTTTTCCATTACAAATAAAAGAAGCAAATACTATACTAATAATTTGAAATGGGATTAAAACTTATGATTTTAGGTCCCAACTCTGAAGTCATTGTGTTGAATTGTGGTGCGGTTTCAATTAAAGTAGAAATAGCAAAACAAACACAAATAGCGAGGGAAGCACAATAGCTTGTCAAAGTGCTCCTAGACGAAATTTGAAGTTCCATCCTCGTTGTCCGAAAGCATCTCCACAACTTGGCGCATGGTGGGTCTTGCATCCATCTCTTCTTCCACACATTGCAATGCGACTTTGACCAAACGTTCCATCTTATCCAGGTCATAGTCGGAGGCCAACATAGAGTCTGCAACTTCTTCAATCCATGTATTCCTCGAAATATCTCTATTTGCCTTCTCCCTCACCCAAGGAACCAGCCTCCACTGCTCCACCGCCTGATCTACGTTGTCAGCAGTTTGAGCTCCGGTCAAGCTCTTTCCAGTCAGCATCTCCAAAACCACAATTCCATAGCTATAAACATCAACTTTGGAGGTTATTGGAAGATTGTAAACCCACTCAGGAGCCATGTAGCCTCTTGTTC